ACACCCACTCTAAATCCAGTAATAGCCTAAATACTGCTCAAAGTCTTTTCATCCATCCCACAAATAAATAAATCAGTTTTTGTAGCATTTAGTTGCAAACTTGACATCCCATAAAACACTTCAAGAACACTCTTCACACCAAACACAGAATCCATTGATCAGTGGAAAAAATAAGTAAATCATCAGCAAAACATAAATGGGTTAATGAGATCTTATTACACTTAGGATGAAATTTAATCTCAAACCTTCTTCATAGAAGTATCTAATAATTAAGAAAAAACATTCATCACCATAATGAAAAGGTTGAAAGATAGGGGATCACCCTGTTTCACTCCCCTACTCCCACTAAAATAGCCAACCAAGCTCCTATTAAAGACCACAGAGAACTTTGAAATAATGACACATGCTCTAATCCAATTCCTGAATTCCTTAGGTAACCCAAGAGCAGGAAGAGCAACCATCAAAAAGTCACAATTGACTTGGTCAAAAGCTTTTTGCAAGTCAATTTTAATAGCACAACTAGAAGACACAGTCCTCCTATAATAACCCTTCACCATGTCTTGAGAGAGAAATGTATTATCCACTTAATTCCTCTATTTGATGAAAGCAGAGTGAATGAGTGATATCATCTTAGGAAAATAACAAGCCAACCTATTCACTAACACCTTAGTGATAGTTTTATATATCACAAAACAATAAGAGATATGCCTAAAGTTCTTTGCTCTACTAGCATTAGGAACTTTAAGCACAAGAACAATTGATGTGGCATTGAAAGCAGTAAACAAATCAGCTTCCTTAAAGAAATACTTAATAGCAGCCAACAAATCATCATTGACTATCCCCCAAGCTGATTTGAAAAACCAAGCAGTGAAACCATCATGTCCATGGCTCTTTTCATTCCCTTGCTTAAATAGAGCATCATGAATCTCCTTGTCAGTAACCTCTCTAACAAGCTCACAATTAACTCCTATAGGCAAAGAATACCCAAGCAAGTCTTTCAGTTGATTAATCATACAATAATTAACATTCTCATCCACTGTCCCAATGAGATTAATAAAACATTTCACTGTCTCAGTAGACATGCTGCCAAAATCGTCTAACCTTTCTCCAATATAATTAATTAGTAACCTAATGGTGTTTTACTTCCTCTTTCCTAACACAATTGAATGAAAAAAAAACTTAGTAGATCTATCCATCTCCTTTAACCAGTGCACCTTAGCTTTTTGCTTGTAAAAAGAAGCTTCAACAGCTTCAAGCTCCTTAAGCTCAACCTGAAGAATGACCTCCTTCTCCGTGTCATTCTTATTAATATTAGAAAGGTTAAAAATCTGGGCCTGCTCAGGCTGTTCCCTTTTAGCATCTACATTACAATAAATACCACCAAAGTGATTTTTACTAAACACTTTAAGCTTGGCCTTCAACCTTTTCAGATTACCAAACATTTACATGGCATTACCCCTTATATCCTCCTGCCAAGAACATCTAACAGTCTCTTGATAGTCAGCATGAAGTGTCCAGTAGTTAAAAAACTTGAATGGCTTGGGTCTATTAGTAACATAACCCCCTTGCAACTGCACCAAAGCAGGATAATGGTCCGAGACACTTGGGGCCTTAAATTCAACACAAGAATCATACCAAGTAATCAACCACTTCTTATTAATAAGAACCTATCCAATTTACGGGAAAAAATGTTTCATTCTGCTTATTAGACCAAGTAAAAATTGGCCTTTGATAGGGATGATCAATTAGCCCCACCTCAACCAAGCAATCCTTAAATTCCTCCATGTCAGCAGATTCTTGAGGCCCCAACATCCCATAATTCGAGCTCTCCTCATCATATGTGACAATGTTAAAATCACCACCCATCATACAATAAGAGTTCCCAATGATACCTTCCACTTCCCTTAACTGTCTCCATAGATTCTTTCTCACCACACAAGAATTATTTTCATAAACTGTAGTGAAAACCATACTGCAGCCCCTAACATCACTTACTACAGACAAAAATTGATCAACTACATACAAAACTCTAAAATTCAAGTGCTTCATTGGAAACAGCCAAAGTCTACTATTATCCACAACATCATAGTTAGAACAACAAATCCAATCATCCTCAAACCTACAAACACAACTATCCATATTACCTCTCTTAATTCTAGTTTCCATAACACAAACCATATCAATCCTCATTTTATCTAACATGGTCATCACTTTCACTTGCTTAAGGGGATTATTAAATCTCTTTATATTCTAAAAACAAACATTCATTGAGAAGAACCAGGACCACTACCCCCACACCACCAACACCAGAGTCAACCACAACAACTTTACCAAAATGATAATTCATTTTGGCCCTCATATTATTAAGCAAAGAAACCATTCCCAAAGAAGCAACTCGAAGTTTTTTGGGGGCCTCTATGCCTCTAGTATTGCAAGAACCTCAAATCGAATAGAAGAGCCTCCAAGAGCCTTCTTATCCCGATTAGCCATTGTCTTCTTCTTATGTGACACAAAAGCCTATAGAGAGGGGAAATCCTTTTGATTGCAATCCCTAATCTCTTCATCCACATTCCTCACATCCAATTACTTATGCTTCCTTTGAGCACTAGACTCCTCAACCTCTCATATCTTAACCACCTCAGGTTCCTCAATTTGCCCCTGAGCCCGAGAATCCTCAACCTTATAACCCTCAACAGGACCCTCAACTATAGCCACCTCCTTCACTTTCCACACTTGAACCTTACTGGAAACAGGCTTAGGCCGAGTAGAGCAAGCTTTCTCCCATGCCCAAACACCTTACAAATCCTACATTAGTGAGGCATCCAAAGAACTACCACAGATACAGAAACAACTAATTCACCGAAATTAAATCCCCAACCCTAATCTCCACACAGATCTTAGCATATTCTAATTGTGTTTTGGATGCAGTAACAGAATCCATATATAGGGGAGAACATGTAGCATTAGCAATGTAACTCAAGCCAGTCTTCGAATACAGTTCTAATGGGGCATTAAACAGATGTAACCAAACATGCATTTTTGCTAGGTCAAAATCCAATTTCTTCAAACCTGGTTCCCATTTTCGAAGTATTAACAACTTGTTTTGAATGTGTCAAGGACCGTTCTCAAGCACCTAGTCCCTAACACGACCGACCCGAATGAGAACACATAAAGACTCGGACCAGCAAGGCTCACTGGATCAGAGCAGTTCCCCTCCCCCCAAATGCATCACAATTCGCTGCAACGAATTAAAATTAGGGCGTGACCCAATAAACTACCGCAACAAAGAAAGCTTCCACTCTGAAACTAAATGCTCCAAAACTTCAGAAGGCGGTTAAACAATTGGAACCCCCTCACGAACAGATGGAGGATAGAAGTCCAAAGATTGCCCATTCGTTCCTGCAAACAAGTGCTTCCAATCGAATTTGGAAGAATCATTCATATGTGGTGAGAAAGAAAGAAATCATAATCGCCACCAAAATCAGTAGAAAATCCAATCAAAGCCCACCGGAATAGCAACGAAATTCTCAAGCTCCATTAGACCGGCTAATGTGCACCCATAGAAAACAGTTAACGTGCGCCCATAGAAAACAGTTAACGTGCGCCATCACTCTACACTACAATATTAATCTCCCATTTATGCTTGGTATTGTTGGTCCGTTTATACTTTAGCTGCCTCTGTAAAATCGATAGTTTTTGGTTAAGTTGTAGATTGCAGCCTATGTAAAACCCATAGTTTTTGGTTAAGAAGAGAAATGTAGATGCACATGATTTTTTTTTAAATTTAATTATCACGTAATATTTTTATTAATGGATTAACAGTCAATAATGATTGAGAGACTAAAATCGAAAACACACTTAATTTTTAAATCGATAATCAAAATCGATCAGACTAAAAATAAATAAAACTATTCTCTTGGTTTACCCTTAGTTAAAAATGGGGTTGGGGGATGATAGGGCATGCTTTTCTTTTTCTTTTTTCCCAATAAATTTTAAAGAAATAATGAAATTTTTTTGCTAGTATTGTTTATTCGTGCTTTCCATGGTGATTAGTGATTACCACTTATTGGCCATTAGAAGCAGGAGTTTTGATTTTGCATAGGTCCAAGGATTTTTTTGGACAAAAGCAGTGAAACTGAAAACGACTACGTTAAAGGCTTGTAGTGTTTTAGGGTAAACTAATACTTAGTCATCTATCTATTTCTGTAGCTCTTATATCTTGTTAAAAATTTCAAATAATCCTACTCACCCCACGCTAGAATCCTATTGCGGCACCTCGAGAAATAAAAAACTCCTCGATCACCCGGTCAAAGATATGTGCAAGAGGAAGATAAGAAAGATATACATCCTTCTCAGTCAACTGTAAGATTTCTCAAGAAACAAACAATTGAGTGAGGGAAAAGCAATAAAGAAAAAAACATGTCAAAATTTTGAGTCGGGGAAAAGAAAGAAAGGTAAAACGAAATGACAGCTGAAACTATTTGTCTTGGAATCAAAAAGTTCAGTGGAAAGATCACCTCTTCATTTACACTATCTAGCAGGAGTTTCATCCCTGCTATAAGAGTAACATCAAAACTCCCTTTGGATCACCAGTGGTTCCACTAGTACACACTATTGTGCAAATATCACTTTTCGTTTTCTCTGGTAGATCAAAATTTTTATTTTCTCCCTGCAAGAATCATACATAGGAACTCAAACCAGAATTAGTCGTCACATACATGTTGAAATGCAGCGATTGTAACTAGTGGTTAATAGGATAATTAAACAATTAGAAAATAAGCATGACATATGGTTATCAGATGATACTAAACCTGACAATTCATATATCTGGTTATGTTCGTGTATTTTCTCGTGTCATAATCGTTGGCTAAAAATGAAACAATAGCTTCAGCAGTATTTAACTATTTTCTAACAAATTCAAGAGAATAACAGAGCAAATGCCTACTGATTTAAAAAATTCTTCCCAAGGATATATTGCCAAACCATGCTTTTCAGCTGTGGCTTTCTGCTTGGGTGTTACCGTCCCAAAGCTAACAATTTCTGTGTGGCAAAATTACATGCAAAATTGCAGATAAATTATTTCTTACACACCCTTAAAATTAAATAAATAAATAGATGCCATACTTCGCAAGTATTCGGATGCCTTTGGAAATGTTTTAAGCAGCTGAAAATGCAAAGAGAAACCTTAAATGAGAAAAGGAACTATTTGTGCAATTCCAAATTCTTGGATTGAAAGAGAGAAAAATATTTTCCCTATTAGTTCTTACGCAATCCAAGGATTCAAATTATAGATATTAATATGCTTACCTCGTTAATCTTTTTTTCCTCTACAAGTGCTATTGAAACTTCTGCATGGCATATGATAAACTCCACAGCACCAGAACCTATAAAGTAGATGAAAAAGGTAAAACATTCATCAAAAGATGCATGCTATATTGGGATTCACACATTATTAACAGAGTTTAAATGTTTTAATATAACAGACTATCGCCATATTCAAAAATGGAGAAGCCTACATGACACTAACATTGTTGTCTGCAGAAACTTGTGATTAAACAAAATTCAAATCATGTTCGATAACAAATACCTAAAGTGTCATACAAGGGTACACAATAGAGCCCATGAGCATTGCAGGCCTGTATCAATGTTGCTGTTTTAGTAAACATTTTGGGCAACAAGAATTATAACTGCAAAGTGTATGACATCAGTGTAACTAGAGAAGTTTAACATGCTAATCAGATATAAACAAGCAAGAATAATCATACCTCCATGCTTATTACCCACTCTGGGCAATTGGCACCATAAATACCACATTTTCCTCCCTAAAAGTAGTGAAAAAATAGCATGTGACTGTGGATGACAATCACATAATTAGTATTTTCGTTGCAAAAGTTTCGTCGATAACGTTATAGTAAAAAAATGTTAGAGCATTACTTTCTCAACACCAAAGCTCCGGATGGAATTTCCGAGTTTCATTACGGTGTCATAAACTTCTTTGTAAGTTTGCCACACGTACTCTCCAGCCTGCAGTTAAAGCACGGCAATTTAGACGCACAAACTATAAGGCAGAGGCAGCAAACATAACAAAAGCAAAAGCAACAGAGAAGCAAAGAATAAAAGACACGTCAGTGGCAGAGCATACTTTCTGCCGGCGACCAACCATGGGATTATCAGGATATTTCTCAACTGACATGCTGCGAGGAGGAGATGAAATGCTAGTCATTATCATCAAATAGAACAAGAATTCGTCACAACACAATGAATTTGAGTTATATTACAGTTGGATAACAAGGTCGATCTATCCACATTAGCAAATTTTGAATCTTCAAATTATATAAACACCGAAACATCGAAATAATTACTACTATTGAACATTCTTTTTTGTTTTTCAGTTCTACAGTGTTGAAAGAACTACGAGCTTTCAACAGTAATCATGGAGAAATCGTTATTTCGGTATGTGTAAATGCAAATTCACGTGTTTCAAATACTAGACGTTTGATAATATAATTAGATCTTATTCCATGACCGCCTCGGCTTCAAATTGGTAAGAGATAATCAAACATTTAAAAAGAAATCAGAGGAACTTCTAAAGAGAAGAAAATTTTCCAAAGTCATCAGACATCAAACGGGGAAAAATAAGAGCTAAATATCTATTCATGTTTTCTTGGCAACCAAGCAAGAGCTTAAAATATAAAAGAGGAAAAATAGAAATCGTAACCGGAAAATGTCCCAACAACTCTTCATTCCAGGAACCGGAGCAGGGAAACCATTCTCCGCAAAACAACTGCGATAAATAGGACTGATTGACGGTTTTCCATTGGCGGCGGCCTTCTCTTCCTCTACCTTTATAATATAACACTTGTCAGCCATTTGATCAAATTCTAATGTACAAGTGATTCATCCACTGTACACACTTTGGATGCTACAGTTTCCACTTTCGAGAGAGAGGATTTCTATGAATACATTAAAAAAAATATTTTAAAATATTATAATATTAACAGAATGATTTAGTTAATACATTCAATCAATTTGATGCTAATTTTAATTTATTTTAATAAATTTAATTATTCAATAATTTAATAAATTTATTGAAATAAATGGAGTTGAGTATGATCAAACCTGCTACTTGAGGGAGATTTGACGTGCCTTAGACACTAGCTAAATTACAATATTCTATATATCCTATTGAATTAAATTGAAATTAAGATCAAATCAGAATTAAATTAAAATAATGATCAAATTAATTGAATCTGTGTAATAAAGATTAAATCTACAATTACACTTCTTTTAATTATCATGCCAGAACCAAACGTTAACAACAGATAGCTTGACTGATAATATCTAAATAATTAAATAGTCTAATCGATAAAATTAAAAGGGCAGTGATTAAAATAGAATCAACATAGTTAAGGTGGTCATAGGTGTAACTTCCCAAGATTGAAATATTTGTAGCTTTTCCAAATTAAAATCTGAATACATATGTAAATATTTAAATCAAATCAAATATTTTAAACGTAAATGTAAAACAAATTCATTCAAAAAGGGTAATATCTACATTCCCTATGGAAACCTGTCCTCAATATAATAACCAACATGGGCTTTACACATTCTTATTTTGAAGGCAGCCAAAAATTCCCCAGATTCCGGGGAAAAAGATATTTCTCAATTGCATAAAAGCACTGTCATTTTTGTTTCTATGGCCCCAAAATATAAGGACTACAAAAAATAATGCACCAAGCATGTTTTTAATATAAATATGTCATTCTTAGTCCTCAACTATAACACCAGCAAGTGGAAAGTATAGGCGGATCAGTTCCTGGAAGGAAAGCTTCTCTCACCTCTTCTTGTTTTTCTTCCTTCCTTTAACTTGTTTCTCTAAATTTCTGAGCCTTTGATTGATGGTTGAAGAAGAAGAAGAAGTTGTTCTTTGGTTTGATGCTTTTGTTGGTTCAACAGGCAATGAGGTAGACTGTTGTGATACTGTTTTGGCTTGTTTGAGTGTTTGTTTCAGAGCCGTATACAGATCGATACTAGGCCGCGGTGTAGTAACGGCTGGTTGCGGCGGTATTTCAGGAACACCTAAAGCCTTCTTCACTCCAGGAGCTTTCAGCACTGCAAATTTAAAAATTTCAAAGAAATGTCGAAAAAGCAAACCGCTTCTCATGCTACTTACGGTCAAATGTTTAATCGATTGATCGCATGATATTAACCGACTCACCTAGTCCATATGTAAGGGAAAACAAATTTGATGTGATCCAATAACAAAATATGGCCTGTCGAATAAAATGAGATGAAAATTATAATTAGTCGGTAAATATTTGGCATTATTTTCCAAAACCAGCTTGTTAGAGTAGGCAATGCAAATGTACTATATCAGCTTGTTAACGAGAACTGTAACATAAACACACAATAACCCGTTCGAATTGTAAAAATCTTAAATGATATTGACAGCTGATGGCACATACAACAACGTGCACAAGTTGGGAAAGGAAGTGGTGGCATACCTTTGGAAAACTCATGGTAAACGGAACTGTAAGAGCAGCGAGGACCCGAGAAACATTTTTCATAGTTTTAGCAGCAGGATTCCCTTCCATGCCTTCTTGCATGTTGCACTGAGGACACAAAGCCGTTAATTAAAAGTTTAAAACCGATTCAACAAAAGAAAGGCATACAGAATGTTGCTCGATGCTTCAATTTATCAACAAAACAGGAAGCTTACCTCCACCGTTATCAAAAAAGTCAGTGCTGTCAAAGCTGGAAAGATGTATAAACTGTCCGGGGTGCTGAGATCTGTAAACCAGTATGCTCCACCATATTTAAATGATGGCATTTTCTCAGCCATTGTCGATATCTGGAGTAAAAGACCGGTCATTAGATACAATTCTAAATGTACCACATTTGATATAAAAACCAAACCAGAGAGTTACTGCAAAAAAAAAAGTTTTTCTTACAGCCAGGAAAAAGCTGACAAAGATGGGCCCCTGAATAAAAAGCCCTTTCAGAGGTGTAAATGGAGTCACACCATATCTGCAATTATTTAACACAAACAATGAAATTGTCAGGTAAAATCAGTAAAAATGTCTTTTAGGACATCGACTATATCAAGCACATTTCTGATCAGTCAAAACCTAGAGAATACAACGAAATGAACTGTCATCTAAAACAACTCATGTTTAATATATTTGTGCTTCTAACTTCATATGTACAAAATAAATCCATTTAGCATCCTCCGAGACAGATTTCATGGTAAATGCTAACATAATGAACCTATCATGACCTCAGAATAATATGGGGACCTGGAGTCGTTTATGATGGAGAGGGGTAAGAGCACTATAGATTAATTAAAACATTTCGATCAATGTGAAGTTACAAGCATATTTTCCTACAACAGAATAGCCAAGTGGAATTACAACCCAGTGCCCTTCGAAAAGTTCAGAGATAATAGCATGAAAAGCCAAATTAACAGGTTTTTGTGATTCAATCATGGAACCAAAGGCTATGGAATCTATTACAAGTATGGCCTCATCCGAATGGAAAAGTGGCTTACTCCTTGAAAAGCTTTTTCATTTCATTTTGACCATCAGCCATTGACAGGGAATCATTACCCTGCAGAAAAAACAGGTAGAAATTTGTAGAACTTTATATTACCATAAAATAAAATAAAAATTGTCCATGGAATCTGAACATTCTCCACGATCATGCACAACACCTAAAAACAGCATGCTGTCTAAAGAGTACAGATGGTTCAAAATAATGACAAAACTATAGTTGAAGCTGGCACCAGACCTGGCTTGACATCCGCTCCTTGATTTCCTCCAAGTGTGGCCTCATTAGCTGCAAGATGGACACAAATTACTAAATACGGTGGTCAATACTTAAATGAAATAACAAGATATAAGTTAATCAATCTATTAGCTGTGTCTAAGCTGTAAAACAACTTACAAGAAGAAAGAATATCTAGAAGAAGAGCCATACATGCTTCCTTTGTCCATGTCAAATTAATAGTTTTCTTTTGGTATGCATCCTCAGAATATTCTTTTTTTGAGGGTACCAAAATGTACAAGTCAAGCAGAGACAGACTAAAGTTTTTAGAACTAGGACAATATGGTGATGTCTCTCAGTACTTTCGTTTTGTTATGACCATTAACAATGTCGGTAGTATAATTACTAGACTAGAACACAATTTGCATCATCAAATTATCCAGCATATTCAGATTATAACGCTTTAATTCTTTAAAAAAAGTGTACTTATCATAAAATTATGCCTTGTGTGTAAAATCAGGTGAAATGCATCAAAATGGAAGTGTATAATACAGAGCGCGCAGAAATAAAATGAACAAAAGGATGTAAAAAGTAAAATCACACACCGTCATTTTTGTGGTAGCTTTAAGTTGATTTATCAAAAGTGGAAGAGTTGAACCACGAATCAAAAGTGTTGTCACTACTATGGAAGCCCACCTGAAACCAATAGATGAGTAATATTATTAAAAGAACCAAAAGTTTAACTTCAATTGCAATTAATCAAAACTTCAAGATTAGCATAAACCAAGAGGTCAGACTCAGAATATTTCATAAGACATTCGCAGATTCACATCAGGATTCAATTTCATCATTAATCCAACCTCATAAAAGAATAAAAAGCAGATTAATTTTACCAGAAACTTAAAAGAGATAGTATAATGGAATGATAAAGCATACAAGTTTAACCGGTGTTCGCCGAATCCTTATATTTATAGCGCTGGTAGTTTATGTCGTCACCTTTTCATCATCTAAAATTTGGCTGGGGTAGATGGTATAAAGAATGAGTTTTGAAGCAACTAACTGAACCATTACATTAGAGATTCGCCAGTTCAACAAAATAAATGAAACCAGTAACGCACATGTCGTTCAAGTAAATGCAACAACTTACCAGTTGAAGCCCGTAAAGGAATGAACAGCATCAATAACATACTGCAACGTAGCAACAGGCAACCAACAATCAGCAGCAGCAATGGCAACCTCATTCACAGCAGGAACCTGACTCACGGCTTCAATGGCAGTATCCTTAAAAGCTTCCGCGACATCAGTCATAAGCTCGACCTCTTTAGCCCCATCACTAGCCATAGTTGACATGTACCGACCAAAAGAGATCCCGGTGCCAGGAAGAAAAGCTAGTTGGGAACATCTTCTATCTTGGAACAACACACCAAACCCTGAGGATGAATTACTAAACCCAGTTCCAAAAGATCTCTGTTGACCCAAATTACCCGGCTTTTGTTGCGATTGGGACTCGTTTAAAGGATGAGACTTACGGTCATCATCATGGAAAATGTACGCAAACGATGGTTGATATCGTCTAGCTATTAGAGTTGCTCTACGGGAAAGGCTACGGCTAAACGCCATTGATACGAAGAAGAAAAATTCCTCTAATCAAATGAAAAAGGAAAAAATCAAATTCAAAGTTTAAAAGCATAAACAGATCAAGTTAATACATTAAAAATACAAATTATTCACCTTTTATTCCGGTCAAACAAAACTACTACAATAAGAATGCTGATGCCAGAATCTAGGACCTTAAAGAATAAAACATAATAGAAAGAACTTCAACGATACTGGAAAGAAGAAGAAGTAAAAGAGAAAACTCGCCTTTTCAATCTCTTTTGCTCGAAACAGAGAGTCGCCCTTCGAACAGAACACTCCCCTGATTTCTGCTTACTCGAACACAACAGCTCTCTTTTTTGCCCTCAATGTAAGAGTCCCTCTTCCTGGGGTTAATCCCGTCCTCTTACGGTAGATTGAATGGGCCGCCTTTGTTGAATTTGGGTCCAGGTTAGCTCAACTATTGGTTGTCATTTGATATTTTTAGTAATTTAACAGATAAATGTATCGATATTAGATGTTTTATACGTATAAATTGCGTTATACTTGTATATGTGTGTTTATATTTTATTATTTAATAAAAATAATTTTATTTTTAATTTAAATATATATTTATCTAAAATTTTGAATAAATTTTAGTGGGACCCTATTAAAAGTTTTGAGTCTTCTGGGTTCACCAAACAAAGTAGGCAGTCGGACCACACTCCTTAAATTCGGAAAAAAGGTTAAAAAATAGTGTGATCGGTTAAATAAGTGATCGATTTAAATTTAAACCGATTATGTTATATTATTTAATCGAAAATATTATCAAATACAATAACATATTATGTAGCGCTTATATAATAAAATAGGCATTTAACCGGAAATATTATCAAATACAATAACATATTAGGTAACGCTTATATAATATAATAGGTAGCGCTTATATTGACCTATTTTCTTAGTAAACCGGTATATTTATACCGGTAACATTGTAAATTTACCTATTACATTATAATTATCGGTTTCGATGTTTTTTGGATCGATACAATTTTAAATGTATCGACACTTTATACATGCACCTCGTTGGGCATTCATTCTGGAAAAAAGTATCGAAACAAACTTAAAAAGTGTCGATACATTATGTAGACATATTTTCTCATAAAACCGGTATATTTCTATCGGGTACATTGTAAATTTACCTATTACATTGTAATTATTGGTTTCAATGTTTTTGGGATCGATACTTTTAATAAATGTATTGACACTTTATGTGTGCACCCCATTTGGCATTCATTATGGACAAAAAGTATCGACACAAATTTAAATGGTGTCGATACTTTATGCTGACCTATTTTCTTATAAAACCGGTATATTTATACCAGTTACTTTATAAATTTACTTATTACATTATAATTATCGGTTTCGATGTTATTGGGATCGATACTTTTAATAAATGTATCGACACTTTATATTCTGGACAATAAGTATCGACACAAATTTAAAAAGTGTCGATACATTATGTTGACCTGTTTTCTAATTAACCGGTATATTTATACCGGTTATATTGTTAATTTACCTATTACATTATAATTATTACTTTCGATATTTTTGGGGTCGATACTTTTAGAAAATGTATCGACACTTATTTAGCTAGTTATTGTATATACCAAAATATGTCATGCGAATTTAATGTTGTACCCACCCTTTAACAACCACTACCAATATCACATCCTATTGAAAGCACGACTGAAATGTTCTATGAACCTTTACTTACATCTCCATCAACTCCAGGACCACTGAACTTGCACAACAAATTTTTTGCCATGGATCATACTGATGCAGACAATGTTAAGCCAACCGAGGAATGCCATGAAGTACATAATGTTGATGAATCTGACAGATTGGTTGGTCAGCTCTTCTCTTCACGTGATCAAGCTTGGTACTTTTACAAGGGATTCGCACGGGAACATGGGTTTAGTGCACGTAAGGGAACAACACGGCTTGACGTGGAAGGGAATGTGAAGTCACAATAATTTTGTTGTTCCAAAGAAGGGTTTCGAGTATCAAAAGTCAATACTGTTGATCGTCAACGTGCTCATACGCCAGTCACAAAAACATGATGCAAGGCTAGAGTCGTAGTTACAGCAACAAATACAAACGATCACTGGTTATAAGTAAGTCTTATCAGAAACATAATCATGTATTGTGCACACCTGCTATGACACCATTTATGGGTTCTAATAGAGCTGTAAGTAAGGCTGATATCGATGAGGCAACAACATTGAAAGAGGTCGGTGTTGGCACGTTACAAGTAATGAACTATTTAACGCAGCAGTCAGAGGGCTATCATAATATTGGATTTACACATAAAGACCTCTACAATGCACTTCAAAGAGGTAAAGTAAAGGAAATCGTCGATGGGGATGTGAATGCACTTATTGTTTACTTTGATTATAAGAAACATGATGATCCTGAGCTTTTTATGACATACTCGGTAGACGAATCAGGGGCATTGCATAATCTTATTTGGTCGGATTCTACATCGAGATCAGATTACACATGCTTCGGTGATGTAATTGTGTTTGAAACAACGTACAAAGATAATTTTTATTGTCAACCAATTATGCCTATTGTCGGTGTCAATCATCACCATAACATAATTGTGTTTGCCATTGCCATAATCGCTGACGAGACGTCTCAATCTTTCGAGTGGGTGCTACAGAATTTTTTAGAAGCCATGATGAATAAATCGCCTATTTCAGTTGTCACCGATGGGGATAGGGAAATACAGAGGGCAATCAAATCCGTTATATCTTATGCTAAGCACAGATTATGTTCTTGGCATCTTTCTCGCAATGCACAAGCTAACATTGGTGACCCAAAATTTACAGCAACATTCTCAAAATGCATGGCTTCCTGGTTGACAATCGAGGAATTTGATATTCAATGGCGTCAGGTTGTTTCAGAATTCAACGTCGAAAAGCATCCATGGGTGATTGAGAAGGGAAATACTCGGTACTTATGGGCACAAGCATATCTAACCAATCATTTCTTTGCCAATAAAATAATTGACATCTCTGTTGCGTAATTTTTTCATGTGAGTAGTTGGGTTTAGGGTTTAAAATGCTTGCAGTTATGTGAAAATCCTATTATTCAGTAGGTTCTCTTCAGCATGATAGGCATAATTGCAAAGTTGATTCTAGGTTCGGTCTTCATGCACAGCAAAAGCTACCGCTCTTGGTAAATCTTTAAGTGCCAGATTTCTTGTGCTCTGCCTCGAGGATATAGGTTACTGCACGCATATAACTAATTGGTCTCGAAACGTGAACGTATATCATAACAACTATCCTTATATAAAAAAAATTAAGAACAATTCTTCAACAACTGAATATAACTATTATATGTAATGTTCAATCATGCACTCCTTACGTTGGAGGGCTCTAAACCCTAAACCCTCAAATGATGCTTGCCTTACCAATTCCTAGCTTACCATTTGGACCCTGCAAGGGGTTTTATTGGCTATGATGTCAACATGATTAATTACACAATCAGAACATATTCAATAGGTTTTAACATTTTTTACTTTCTACTTACCACACCGTTAACCCATTCCGTAGGCTTCAACGTTGCAACTTCGGATACACTAGCGAATTAATTTCCCATTGAGATTACATAATATATGTATGAATCATTAGGATTAATATCTTTGTCATGAAATATTTAAATATCACTCACAAAGCAATATATTTCACTTACCCCGATTCTAACCCACTATTCCATAAATATTCACAAATTGCAGCTTCGAGGTCATCAATTCCGCTTGGAATATCCGCTTTTTCATCCTATAATTTTGCATACAAATTTTTGTCACTGCAACATGATAAAGATCAAATTAAGTTTTATTTTATTCAACTTACCTTCTGCTTCTTCTTCTGGGGTGCATGACATTCCGAATCCAAATCTGCATCTATAACACTCTCCGGTGTATAGATCACATCGACATCCTTCCTCCTCATTTCCTCCATCTTTTCTTCTTCCTCCATCTTTTCTTCTTCATATTTTTTCAGTTCATCGTATTTTTGCTCTACATAACTCTTCATCTCTTTTATTTCACCCTTCAATTTTTCCCCTTCATCCAAGTATTCATCAACCACCCCCTTCACCCGCGTAAGTTCACTCCTCAATTCCACAACCTCCTTCACCGCTCCATCAATTTTTTTAACCGTCACCATCTTAAGTTCACCCCTCAACACCTCAACTTCTTTCACCACTTCACCCCTCAACACCTCAACTACTTTCACCAATTCACCCCTCAACACCTTAACTTCTTTCACCATTCCATCTATTTTTCCTTCTACTTCCCCCTTATGCATCTCAAGTGTCTCTTCGACTCTCTCAAGTCTCTCTTCGACTCTTGATTGTCTTTGCATGATATCAAATTGGATTTTTTTGATATCAGTCAATTCAGACATCAAAATGTCGAATTTACTCTGTTTTCTCTCACTGTCATCCCCCTCACCGTCATCCCCCACTACAACCATCTCTTCTTCCTTCTCTTCTGCCTCCTCTACCTCCTTGTCAATAACCTTCAAAATTAAATTACAATATTAAGACATTGATTATATTCTTAATATTATTTAATTACATTTATTACCCTTTCTTGCTTCCTCGGTCTATCCAACTTCAACTTCACCATCACTCTAACCACCTCTTCCTTCCCTCATGCACGGATGTGTGCCACTTCGGTTCTTTCATAAGTCGGCAATGCCTCACAGCACGACCAAAAATTGAACAGTGCAACCTGCATTTATAATAAAATTTATAATTTTTTATAATAACTATACTATCATTTTATATAAAAAAACAAAAAACGTTCTTCAACTCATTTACCTCTAAGATTGCTATGTACCCTTTGAGGTATCTTTGGCTGCACTTTTTAAAGTTATTATTGATTTAATCAATCTCGAATGGACATATTCAGCCCAATTGAATTCACCCTTCAAGCCTTCATCGCAAATGAGCTTCATATAGTCCTTGTTTGTTGACGTATCACCCGTTGGACAAAGAAATATCCCGACAAGGTACAATAGAACTCAGGCCTTCAGCTCATCCCCCCGTAAGATCCACTTTTGATTTCCTCTTCAAGTTCAGCATATGTCACATTCTGCTTCAAACCATATTTGGAGGCAAGTGATTCAAGTTTTAATTTTTGTTATGTGTTTTATTACATTCATTTTTAAGATTAATTTTCATAAAAGGTTTTCTCTATTTGTTTATGTTTTCTATTAATTTTGTCAAATAATTTGATATGATATTTGTTGTACAACCCATACATGTAGCATGAATGAAATAAAATATTGTAGCAATTAACACATACTTACACCGGT